TTAACATTAATAAGACTCCTATCCCCGCTGTTACTCTATCATCAACCATTTTTTGACATCAGAGAACTACTTAAAATTCGCGATGACGTTTCCCGCGCGCTTTGTAAACATGGCGTCGCTTCCGGTAAGGTCACAGCGGAAATTCGATGCCCGTCTTCTGAAGGGCTACCAGATTATATACGATGAGAAAACAACAACTCTCTGATATAATGATGAATTGAAATAGCGCAAGCAGGTTTTGTGTTAATATAAAATGTTGTCAATTTATTTTGTTATTATCTATTTACAATAATGACACTCATTCGACACTTACAAAGGAATTATAATTGCTTAATTTTGTATTTTTACAAATGTACATGATATTTTTTTAATCTGGCAAGTAATGTTATGTCATACGATCAAATACTTCAACGTCAACTAATTAATGACAACTATTTTTCTTATAAAAAACGCCATAACTTTGTATAATATAAACTAACAGTAAAAATGAAAAATATAATTGTTCCAAGAAATAAAAACTTCGACATTGGCAGAACACTAAACAATTTCCATGTGATTAATTCAATTAAAGCATAATTTAAAATATATATATTTTGTTTTAAAACAAGCATCCATATTCAGATAAATTCAAAGTGAATTCTGATTATTAGTTTTACAATTACAACAATGTCAATAGCCAATTGAGACGTAATGAAGATAATAATGATTCAAGTAAATACTGTTTAACGCGTCTGTGTTTTTAAATTAAACGATATTTTTAATATAATCGAACATAACGCCGTCCATCAATCGGGAGACCGCGGAGTGAAAAATGAAAGATTCCGTGTAAATCTGTAATTTATATGCGTCGTCGCGAGCCCCCGCCCGGCCCCCGGGTCGGGAGTGACACAACATACAATGTTTTTAATTTTTATTCATCTATTTGCCACTATTGACATCAGTTCAGAAATTTGTAAATATATTTATAAATAAAATATTCAGCCAAACTTAATCGAAATATTTTAAGACGTTACTGAACGGATGAAAAAAATAAAGAAATAGCTGTCAAAATTTTATAATATGTACTTTTTCTTTAAAAGATAATAAAGCGTAATATATTTTTAATATCAATATATATTATAAATGAGAAGCAGCCCTGTTTTCTTCTAATTTATTTCTTAATACCGTCGCCTAATGTCGGTGTCAAGATAATTTGTTTGTTGAAAGAATCGAAGGCTTCCGTCGATAAGTGTCGGAACAATTACCGTCACCCTCCGTGGAAAAAGAGAGTTTATGAGAAAATGTACTTTAAAATTAACTGTTAGTTTAATAGATTTATATTATGTCATAATGAAAGTTAAACGAAGAATATTATTAATTCCTACTGCTGTTACAAGGTTCAATATAAGCCTTTGATGAAAAGGTTTGAACTAAATTAAATAGGAATGCATGTAGTTGTAATAATTAAATATTTATTAACAAGATTGTCTATGATTGTATTAATATTATGATGACCTTTTTTAGAAACCTCGCAAGTAATTCGATATATTTTTCGTCATTAACAAAATCTTATTATGTACTTTTTAATCTTTTTTTGGGTTTATCCGGCTAACAGCCTCTACGACTATATTATAATGTACTTAAATATAATTTTCCTATAGTTATAATAGCAATTTTTAATACATCCAGAAAAATACAAATTACTAAAAATATTAATCTTAATAACCTACTTGTATACTTTATGTACATCAATATAATTTTAGTCGTGATATTTATAGTAGCTATTCTTTATATTTTAACAATTATATTAAAAATAATAATAATAATATTAAAAAGATATTTTGCATTTTGTTCAAAGTTGGCTACTTTCATCTCGTCCGTCTGTGATCAAAGTTGCTGTAGTAACGGAGCGAGCCTCATGTAAAATAAAATAATGAATGATCTTCATCTTAGTATATATGAAAAACACAGTTTCATTTAAAATGTGTGCTTAAAATAATCTTACATATCATTTCAATTATGTACTATTTTTTTAATATTCATGTCGCGAAAATTTCAAAGAATAGAAAACTTTGTACTAAATTTAACGGTATACTGTAAAAAACTAATGTATCATAAACTTATTGAATATCTAAAAAATGTATAGAATTAACAATTTTAATACAAAATTTTATACATCTTGCAAGATAAATTTCAACAAGGATTACTTAAAAAATACATTGTTTAATACTGTCATATATGAAAAGTTATGCGCTCTTCACACTGGTGGTGTTTTATTGATAAAAACGAGCGTTTTTCATCATCGTGGCCGCATGTATCGAGTGTGGTGAGACATTAAATGATTCTAGCCTAGTGGTTCATAGAGGCGGGGCGGTCACACCTCTGGTGACGTCATCACGGCTCTACCTCGGCCGGCTCACGGCGACCATGTTGCAGGCCTTGTTGGCGCATTCGTTAATAAATACATATTACATTTAAAAATATATGAAACTATTTTCAAAATGGCCGTTAATGTTTATAATTAATGTGTCAAATTATAGAGCATTTAATTAAATTATGAAAGGATTAAAACATTTTTAAAGTATACCATTTTGTGATTTCTCATTTTTTTCTCGCTAATACTCACTATCAATCACTTTTATATAAATTCTACTCTAGTATTTAATGCAGTCAGTGGTGGCCTCGGAGGGCGCGTGTTCGAAACCTGGCAAGTACCAATATGATTTTTCCGAGTCATATGTACTTTCTAAGAGTATTTAGACACAACTGATTAATGCATTCCCAAAGAGGGTTGATGTCAGGCAGATGGCTGGTCGTAAAAACAATTAGCCAAAACTATTCACGACATGTAAGGCAGTCCCTGGCTAAAGCTGGGAAATTGCCAGGTAGAAGAAGAAGCTAGTCTAATATTTAGTGTACCTTGAGTTGTACTTATATACTATCTTTACATTATATTAAAGATTATAAATTTAAACACAGTTGTCATCACACAACTCAAAATAAAATATTAAAAACTGCAATCTAACCACACGTTGCAGTCTAACGCTAAATACTAATCGTTTGTCGTATTTTACACGGTACTGTCCACGTATGAATAAAAAACGGAAAACTTCCGTTCCCAGTTATAAGGGTATAACTTTTCTTATAATTTACTATACAATGATCATTATAATTTTACCTTAATAGAATAATTACCTTAATATAAATATTAAATATCTAAAACTTAATAGAAAAGTTTAAAAGTAGAATATTTTTTTATGTATAGACTAAATAAATTAGATATTCTGTACCATATTATGAGGCACTGAGGTCAATGACTAATCATTCTCAAATAATATATACAAATAGTAAATATAATAAATATTTTGAATGTAGAATGACTGTACATTTAAAACATCTATTTAAATTAATCTCTAAAGGAATTTCCAAAAGCGGTAAATATAGGTAAAAAATAAAATTAAATAAGTGTACAACAATTACAGTTTACATTTCAAATCACAAAAAAGTGATCATTCTATGACTTTTTTCATATAAATTCTTAACCCCCTATAAATCTTTCAAAGGCTTAGTAACATAAAAGTTTTACCTCAATATTTTAAATATTAAAAATTTACATTTATGTCAAAAATTTTCATAACTTAATTACTTAATAAGTGCTATATTTTAACATACCAATAAAATATGATTCATCCAAAAATATTTTTTCCTACTTCAATGCACTATCTCTTTAGCCACATATTTCCTTGTCTTTTACTAAACAATTTCGTTTATTTTGTGTTATAATTGATTGTATTCTAATTTCATATAATAACAGTCAGAATTATATATAAAAACTAATACATATTACTTTAAATAATAACTAATATTACCTCAAACTAGTAAACATATAATTGATACTGACTCATATCAAACTATATTTAGTCTCATTTTGTATATCTTTTATATTTATAATATTATCACAATAAATATGCTTTGTGAATAAGTTTAATGTTCTTTATTTATACAAAATTTTTCTATGTTAATTAGTTAAACTAAATCTGTATATTGTAATATTTATAATAAAGACTTAATAGGTTAATAATGAGATAGTGCGTTCATCATCTACAACTTAATTCCCACTTTCCAGGTGAAATGACAGTCCAGGACTATTCAGTTGAAATAAAAAAAACATATGAAGTAAAATGCTTTAAAATCATATATTGTCATATCTCTTAATGATAAAAATAATATAATTTATAAGACAAATTAATTAACTTCCTATTATTTTATTGTGTTAATAAAATAGACATAAAAGATTCCAAAAATGAACATCGTCCGTTGTAACATCAAAAACCGTACAATCACTCACAAACAAGTCGAGGAAAACATATTCTTGTAATTAAACATAACGGGTCCGTGCGTTATTATTAAAATCGAACATTTATAAGGAAACTTGAATGTCCATCGATAAAGTACTGTTGGAATCATTCTAACTGGGAAGCCGTTAAGGAAATAAAGTCAGTAATGAATGTTGTTATTGCACAGTTAGAGCTAACCGGGAGATAAACTTGATGTTAAGGAAAACACGCTTATGATAGCAACTGAAAATTACCACCGAATATAAATATGACATTTAATACATCAAGTATCAAGTAGATGTATGTTTGTCAAAATTAAACGTTCCTACCATAGAAGAAAGGGCGAGTTATTTTACTCGATATGTGTTTTTTAATTCCTCCGTCACATCTTGAGTGATCTCGAAGTAAAGTACAAGCCTCAGCATCAGCGTGGTCCCCGCTGATACATCTCCGACTTGTTATTTAGTTAACAGATCACCCCATTGTTACTTAGAGAACCACGAAAAAAGCAGGGGCGGGGCTGATATCGAGAGTTGCATCTCGTGCGATGAAACAAGCTCCCATCGAGATACATGCCTCCAACGGCATGAAGCAGCGACGAGCGATATTCAATCGAATGTACATTATTATAAAGTTAAAATTTAAACGCACCAGCCGTGAACGGCTTATTAAAGAAAATTAAATTTGCAGCCACGCGAAATCGACACGAAACCGCAAATGCAGAAGAGCATCGACAGCCAGCGAAGTAGTAATATAATCCTTAGTGTTCAAGTAACAGTTCTGACCGTGCAGGAGGCTCACGGCGAGCTGGTTTCAACTAGCATGCTGTGTGTCGGTCGCTTACCACGTTCTGAACATCCGACGGTAATGTTTATATAGTGGAGGATATATAGTTTGGATTGTAGATAAGAGGCGAGCGTATTTTCATTTTATTACCAAATTACCGATGGCCAGATTGCGAGCTGAGAGTCGATTGTGGCTGCCCCTATCAGGAACATTTGCCAACAGGTAATTGTGTTATTTTATTCAGTTCGGAAATTCCAACAGTCCTGCGTGAGGCCCGGCCGGCGTGTTATTCAATTTCGATCTTATTTGTTTTATGAGAACAATTTCCGTGGTGAATTTAGTGTTATCTATACGAGAAAAAATATATTTAGTAATTAATTAATGAAAATACGAGGATAATGGAGGCACATTTATTGTCGTGCCAATACCTTTCAAAGCAAAATTTTACCGACGGAAACTGATTTTAAAAAAATATTAAATATTTTGTCATGTTTTATATAACAGTCATAGATTTAATTGCAAAATTTTAGATTTAAATATTTGATTATTTAACTCATGGTGCCTTCTATCACAATTAGATATTCGATAAAGTTTATCGTTAAATTGAGAAGAAAAAAATAAATTGGCTACAACCACAGCCTAACCAATTTCCATCTCCCATAAAATCTTCACACGCGAAGAATAATATTCTTACATCCACAAACAACACTTAAAATACACATAAATATAAAATTAAAAATCTCGTTACAATACTATTATGAAAGCAGCAAAGCATCACAGGGCCGGCAATAAATTCAAAATCTATTTGCACTTGCGGGTCACGACTAAAACACACTGAGGAATGAAATGAAATTAATTATAGAAACGCTATCGGCAATCGACACGACCAGACCTGAGGTGTTAAATCATAGGCGAGAGCGGGGCACTGTTGAAGCTATCACGGGAACTCGTGAGGACTTTATTATGGGGCTTCGTGGATGGATGAGAAAAATATGGGCCTTGGATACACCTCGCGACGAGACAGATATATGTTGAAAGATCAAAAACCTTTATTATAATACAGGTTTTTAAAATAAAAAGTCACTTGTAACCATTTTTAATCAGTCTCTATTCACAGAAGTAATGAAAATTTAGTACATCCTATTTATAAACGTATTTATTTAGTGCAAATTTCAAACGATTTTGTATTATCATTACATATTATATATTTGTTTACAAGCCTTTTTCAACTCAAATGAGTGAACAATACCAGAAGTTATAAGACGAAAGTGTCATCGAATTTAAACAGTTTATGAACTATATAAAAGACGTAATTATAAGTACAAGAACATTCCCTAACGAACAAATTTTGTTGTTAAATAACACTCAATAAAATAATATTGAATCCCAGTGTAATAATAATGATTCTTATATTCGTGTATTGTTAACACCTATATCTGTAGATGGACACAGATAGGAACATTTCTAATGACGTCGATTATAAACTGTGATAACACAAAAATGCCCGCTTGTGTTACTCCAAAAAAAAACTATATAATGTACGATTAAAACAACATAAATCTGTGTATCAGAATGTACGATCGGACGTCCATTTGGACGGTTTGTGATGGGACAGCTTAGAATGCTCTAGGATTTTGGTTCCGTACAAAAAATCTTCATAAAACACTTATAAATATAAAATTTATTAGTTGCCATATATATGATAATTATTAAATGAATGTATTTGTGTCATTTCTATTCGGTTATTATAGTATTGTTGCAATTATTTATATTCTTAAAAAGTAGTAATTTTACACTTCCAAGAGTGATGTTGAAAAAATGAATTTAGCAGAAAAAATATTCTATAATATTATTCAGGGATCTCTAAAAATGTGTGTGTTAGGCTACTGTTATTGGAAACATACGGAATAAAAGTTATTTATCATTGGAACATTTCAAAAGTGACCTTAAATTATATGTTATTAGAGTTCACAATACTTTAGATGAATGCGATAGAGTCCTAATAAAACATTAGTGACGTCCGGCGCGCGCGCACCGTAACCTCGATTATTCGATAATTTACAAGATAAACAAAAAAAAAACGGTTTTTGACAACCACAATGGTTGCTATGAAGTATTTTGAAACGCTTCAACCAAATGACACGAAAACAGTGATTCGGGACAATTTGAAACTAGTTTGGACGGATTATGTCACATATCAGCTTTTGTACACATTTTGTACAACAATACTCTTCATATATGTACAAAGACATATACACATTCACTTCCAAGGAATATACATTAATATTAAAACGTCATAAAGACGGTGCAACAAGAAACGTTAGCAGCCCGATGATATTTCACAAATGAAATTAGCGTTGGGTCTACATAAGTGGCGTTTTTGTTGTTGATGGTATCGCCGGGAACAATGGTGTGTGGGAGCTGATTACCAAGAAACATGGATATCGATATGCCCACCAGCTGTAACTAGTTGAGGTAAGTCACATACAGGCTCAGCTCTATGTAGCTATTGTTTGAACCTAGCTTCGTGGAGGAACCAATATCTTATAAATCAGATGACAAATAAGGTAAACATGTACTGTAAGGATTACACAGAATTGATTTGATTCTGATGACGTAATAATTCAGGATTCCGGATTAGAATGCCTGTATAACCTTAGTATTTAAAATTATATTGTATATACAGGTAATTAATTTTAAACATAAGTAATATTTCATATGTTCGGTTATTTTAAATTATTATTTATTTTTCAAGCAAAAATCAAGTATAGTCCATATTAAAAAACTTTAAAATTTACAAAATATAATTCCTTTACATATTCTTATATACGACTATTTTTCAACGATATGATTTTGTGTATGGTTGTTTTTTTTAACGCAACTACTACTTCACAGATTTTGATATAACTTTACATTAATTTAACTCAAACATCGCATTAAGACAAGAGCTACAATATGTAATAATTATATTTCATATGATACCAAATGACAGACTATAAATGTCGCTACTTGTTCGTCACAATATATACTATTTTATTCACTCTATAAGCACATTTCTTTTTGAGTTCAATTTCGAAATTCACGCAGACAAGGTCGCGGGCAAAACTAGTATCATGCTTGTTTCCAATTAAGTACTTTCATGTTCCACAAGCTGTAGAGATTGTCTGAAGTCAAATTGAAAGATTTATTCAAAAACATTTAATAATATGTAAAACATTATTAAATTAAATTGATTGTATACGTTTTTTTCATATAAAAATTTGCCCTATACCTACTATTTATATTAAAGCATGTTTGGTTATCAAAAGATTCTGTGTGTATGTCGGTCACAATCTGTACACGGTGGTATACAGCAACAGTTAGAAGCATTAGTACAAAGTGTATATTACACACGTGTAATTAAACTGAAATAGATTGTATCTTATCTCACCGTCGAACCATTAACGGGGCAACACAAAAAAACACACACAAACACACATTATAAAACACGTAAAAAAACATTATGTAAATCTAGCTTCACACTACACACGGCTTTAAAGAATATTAATAGGTAATTTATATTAATTTTTATTATTTATCAAACGCGTCATCAATATATTTTTATTTAATTCAATTTTATTATTGCTACTTTTTGTGAAGCTGTTGGCAAAATACAAAGAGACAATTCAGTGTAAAATATGACTAAAAGGAAAGTCCTTGTGATATTAAAATACGTTGAATAATTCTGTGTGTGTTCGTTGCTACCGTAGATGTTTATGTTTGTGTGTGTCCGTGTGTCAGTTCCCATTATCTCCTCATCTAAAACGCTCCACTATCGCACCATCTTAGTCACCGTGCCCATACACGGTCTGTCAAAACAAATGACTGTCCCTACACAATACCCATACAAAAAACGACATACGACACGGGAACAGACGAAATGATAACTTATTACAAATAGAATAACGTTTGAAATAGATCGCCGCCGACATCTTAGATGAATCAATTGAAGTGTCAAAATCATAACCGCGAAACTGATCTCAAGCTATCGGCAATTAGAGGGCAGAATCGAATGTTCCGATTGTAGCTGTGCTGTGGGCGATGTATCGGACAATCGAGTTTAGTGCGAGAAAATAAACGAATCCGATTGTATCGATTCACGAGAATCGAGAGTTGTTAAACTTGTTAACAATTGACGCCTGTTCTGTAGTTTATGTTCAAGATGAAATGGATCGCGAGGCCGTAGGTCGACGTGTGTCACTCCGGAGGATTCGGAGCTCTGGCTAATAAAAAATAAAGTTGAATTTTATTTGGCGTGAAGCAACAATGCGCTCAGCGAGATGGGACAAGTGATTAGGTTACGTACATCGTACCTTAGACGGGGGTTAGTACTGCATTAAATCAAAAGTGTACTTTAATAAAGTTGGATGTACATCGTGGAGGATGTACGGAGTGATTTCAGTTTAGATAGTGGCGACGGCGCAATGTATTGTGTGTTCATTAATAGTTGATTTATTTATTGCAGTGCTATAATTACGTTTTGTTAGTCTCTGTAGTGTATAGTATAATGTAGTATAGTATGTTTGTTTGTATGTGAAGCTTCTCGTCACACCTGCCTCTGCTCCGTGTGGTCACTCTGATAAACATATCATGTGTTCCGAGATTTCTCACTAACTTTCGGGTGGTCTTATAAGACTTCTGTGTACATTACATATTATTACTGTTTTTAATACGTATATAAATCACTCTTATGTTTGGAAATTCAATATTTCGATAAAGATTTCTTGTGATTATCTGAATGAACGATCTTCTTTGTAAGATTTGAATTTTTTTTTTTAAACTAAGACATTAATAGATATTATTTTACGATGTCAAAATTTGATATTTTGACATATTTCATATTTTATGATGTTATAAATTAACAATTTTCTTTTTATTTCCTTATTACACATAATACAAAAAATCTTACATCTTAGAAAAACATAAAATTAAAAACCTAAGTATATTTTATATGTTTAAAAAATTACCCATCTTATTTTCATTCACCTAGAAGAATTTTAAAAATTATATGTTAATCTTTTAATCTTCTTTATCTTCAGAAGTAAAATTCAAAAAAAAAAAAGAATTAGACAAAAAATTGGAACAAAAATTAAATAAAATAAATAGGAGAGTATCAGAATAAAAAATCTATTCAGCAACTCAAGTGGCAGTCGGTAATCGAATCATTAGCCGGCCGACCTTTCCCCATTGTTACGATGTTGCCGCGATTATAAAAACAAATAACTCTAATTACTTTAGAAGCGCAATTAACCACAATCTCATAGACAAATTGATTGTACAGTCTCCCACACGAGTTGAACTAACACGCATCCATTACATACAACACTGAGAATATATACATCTACGCCTAATATATGTTTTTTTAGTATATTTTATGTTCACATCTCGTCTACCTGTGATCACGGTTGTTGAAAAGTAATGGAAGCGTCTAGAGTATATAGTTTTTTACAAAAATGAAGCACGAAAATTTAATTCATTTAAATTTTCTTTGATTCTTAAGACATAATCTATAAAAAAAACAGACGAAGCCACATGTAATAGCTAGTTTAAATGATGTAAAAGTAAACAGTAATCTCTTGTGTGCATGTCTGTACATCAAGACGTATGGCCGCAGTTATTTTTTGTATTAGGGCCCCATTGTTTAATCACAACTCTAACTGTTCAGATGATATCACAACCTATCGACCGAGGTCACGGCGCGTTGAGGAATCTCATATAAATTAAATTAAATTAAACTAAGTGTATTAAGAAACACATTAGTTACAAGTAGTTTATTTATTACGTAAACTAATATGGGTATTTTAATTTCCACTTGTATGTACAATGCATTATTTGGTAGACTTTTGACGTTCATTATACGTCAACCTGATTTGTGATTACTATAAATGAAATGTAAAGAGAGGAAATTAGTTAGAAAAGATGCATTTTATGCCAATTATTATCACACTAATTTTTTAAATTTTCCTCTAATATTTCTTGAACTCGTTTTGCTGTTT